CTACAGAACCGTGGTCCAGGGTACACATCGACTTTGCGGATCCAACTGCAGGTCATCATTTTATCAGCGCTGTCAATTCCCACAGTAAATGGCTTGAGGTGCTTCCAACGGCCAAAACTACCGTAGGACCCACTGTCTGTTCTTCAGTAGTTGGTCAAGTATCACTCTCATAGTTGAGACTGTCCCCGTCCTGCACTGCGGCTTTGCACGTGCGACATTTCGGACTGATTGATATCCCCCTCTGACGACACACGTAACAGAATCAAAAATCTAATTCCAGTTTAATTTATGAATCAAGTTTCTCCATCATGCACCCACCCCTGATATCGCAGTTGCTTGGTGAATGAGTGACTTCAGATTCAAATTTGTTCGGAGATTTGACGAATTTGATAGTATGCTGCTCCAGCGCCAATTACGGTCCAATCTGTGACGGATCCTCTGAGGTTCAAACGCGGCCCACTGTGCTAAACTGCTCGTTCCGGTGGGCACAAAAATTTTTTCACATGATTGATATTTGATGTTGTCTTTCCGACTATCTCAAATAACTCACTCAAACGGAAGCATTGATTAGCTGAGTTTTGCAGTGGAACGAACTAACACACTAGACAATTGCCTTCTCCTGGTTTTACAACACACCAGTGCGCTGTTGGGTCGTTTAATCCGTAAGCGGCAGTCGATTTTGTTTGCCGTACACGCTTGGATGCCGTATCCCATGCCCTATTGCTTAGTATTCTAGTGGGTAAGGTTCGCTTTTTGGGTGTACCATTAAATCCATATCAGGATGTGTTACGGGTTCTGTTTGTGACCGCGTAAACGACTGAATCTGAAAAAGTGATCCAGTGTGTGTGTGCAGTTGGCGATAAACTATTGTAGGCAGTGTGCTACCGTAGTTTAGCGATTTCATTCACATGTGCGTTTATAATGTATACGCTCAAAAAGGTGGGCCATGCACAATGACACTACGGTACGCTACATTTACCCAGTGCGACACATAATCGGTTACCCAATTTTGGTTCAATAGGCTCGGAATAGTACACGGAAGGGTGCATTCCTGTGGATGTAGGTCAGTATAGCACTGCGCACACATATATGTACGTGTCGCAATATCACACAATGAATTAGTTTTCTGCGCTCAGTGATATGTATTTCACTGATTAAGTGCTTAGCACGTGTTCGCCATTGTGAATCCTTACAAAGTAAACACGCTTCTTCTTGAGTATCTGGGAATGTGGTGTAAACAAAATGCGGTTTGTGTATGATGGTACTCTAGAGTAGGCTGCTCGGTGCGGACCACATCACGCAGTGCGGAAATCTGCTCCTGAAATCCGCACCTTAGATGTTTCTGCACCATTCGTTCTCGTCAACTGGCCGATCGGAACCCGCATGAGCGATTATGCCCTTTGGGTCCCCTCTGATGACGAGTCTGTGTCGGTGGTTGAATGCCCTATATTGCTCAACGGGGAGTGCCATAATCTCTGATAAATACCTTGAATTTCCGAACTGCAAAGGATTAGTTGGCCTATGTCAAATAAAAATTGTCGGTCGGGTCACTTGTACAGTTGGATTTATTACATATGATAGCAAAACCCCATGGCTTTCCACGATTCAAGTAATCTTTGGCGACCGTGTAACATGAGCGCATTAGCGGCGACTACACTGTGCAGTACTGTGCTGCATCAACTTAAGCTATAGACCAGAAATCCGTTAACGTCTCCTTAGATGACTGATTACCTCCAGCAGTAAGCGACTTTTAAACATTGTTTAGGTTTAGGATGGGATCACCCAGTGAGCCTTGAGGCTATCTGTAGTAAGTGTTGGGGTCCACGAACCCTTCGTCACCATTTCCGATATGCGCTTGAACTCCAGCTGTCTAAGTGAGTCAAACCACCCTTTCTGATTACTTTCCACCCACACACACCTACCCGTAATCCGCATTTAAATACTACTTTCAAGTGTATCAAGCCCCAGCTTGTTGCGTAGAATTGGCGGTGAAACATCAAGAAGAACTTGGTCCAAGGACTTGATGTAACTGACCTATAAAATTGATAACGGCAACAGCTGCTGATCTTCTGTGACACGTAGTTGTCTCAACCTGACTATCTGGTAACCCTTATGCCAAACGACAATTCCTTTGTCCCCCCTGTTCGCTAAGTTCACTACTCATCCTTATTTTGCCCAATGGCTGCTACTTGATGTTATGAAGCTCTGGTTCTCACAGGAACTCAGCTCATTGTCCTTCTGGGCTTGGAGCAAAGTTGATTAACTGAATTAGTCTGGGCTGTATTGCACTTAAAATAACTCATCTACTGTGGGTTGTAAGTGACGGTGTGTCGAGTTGGATACAAACGAACGGGTTTGTAATTAATGTCGTCTTAGTCCACTTAAAATATGGTTGTGAGTTCATGTTAAGTTTACTGCATTGCGGTATCACTCAAAATTCGGCGGTCGAAAATGCACGGCCCACAATTTGTATCTAGATTGTACTAAGATTTAAATGTCATGGTTAGGCTGGTAGGCAGTGGTCATTATTTTTCGGACTTCGTAGGATGAAGCAAAGACTGCAAATAGATAAATTCCCACTCCAACCACACCGACACAACCGAGTGTTTCTCTTACTCTGCCCTTGTGATCACGGTTTATTATCATGATTCTAGCATCTAGACAAATACCTTTTGAATTGGCCAGATGTAATTCCAGCTTCTAATCGATTTGTATCACACAATCAATTTTGTCTGATGCACTGGTTGGGTTGGCCTGTTGGTTGGTGCCTGCTGTGCCAGGGTAGCCTACTTGCAGCATATGAGTAATATAACGTGGCAAAAGTTTAGCTAGAATGTAATGGACAAGTTAAGCACAAGGCGGTGTTTGGAAAACGACCAACGCGACTGGCTGTTAAATGAACCTTCAACAGTGGGAAACGTTATGAAGCACTATACACAAACTCCCAATAATCCGTGGCTAATTTCGTTTCACAGAGGACTGCTTGCAGCAGATGACACTGGCCTTTGGTTTCTACTCGTTACAACTAGTTTGCGTAGCGGTTCCCAGGTGCCGTCATGTTCATGACTAATTAGCAACTTAGTCCTTATGAGTCATCGAGTCAGAATTGGAACGGAACACCTTTAGATCACGTACCACAAGCCACAACGACTTGGTTCGTTATCACTGCTGTTTATTGCGATTTGACAACGTCTAACCTTCGATGAAACATCCATCTTTGAATTCGATGGAACAAAATACACCACAGAAGCAAGTGGCGATACACAATCTACCTACGAGTTGAAAATAGCCATACATTTTTGTATAAAAAACCGTTGTTTTCTTATCTGCATGAAACTTGCAAGGGAAATTTCATGTCAAATGAAATGTTAACTTATGCATGTTGGACAAGAGTGACATGTGTAAAGGCTACGATGGATGTCTACTGGTTACTAACTTTGGCTCTTAAAACGTAAGGTAATTACAAGTGAATAAATGTATACGGTAGATTACCGAATATAAACCCTTTCATAGATAAGCCGACAGTAAAACCGCAACATCAAATGCGTCCAAAGTTCTTAGTCCCTGTACTAGCCGACCCCTAAAGAAACCGCAAAAGAGAAATGAAAATGTTTCTCCACAATTTTGACATCAGCACCGCCTGCTCTCACTTGAGTGAGTTCAAGTGAAACCTGCTCTACTATTGGTCGATTGTAGGGACCGTAATGTTTTGTCATCCCAGTTAATGGGGCTTAGGGCCGTCAGAACAGACTTTCACGTGACCAGACGTCAAGTCACATGAAACAGGTAAGACGGCCGACAATATAGGGTAAAGTGAGAGGGTGTGTCAGACATAGTCCGGGGCCTCCTGCATAGGAATCACAGTAAAGCGAAGTTCACTGGCAGGGGTGTAGGACGATGTTATACTTACAACTCATTGGATTTCTTGGCATAGCACAATGTTTAAGGGCTTTTAATTCCCTATTACTGTCCGTAGCGAATGTCAAATGAGCAATGAACCGAGAATTTTTGTTACCAAAGTAACGTGCCGAGTTATAAGCACTTTAATTTTTCATCTGGAATACCGTCCGTCACTAGCGGGTGGTGATAAGGACAGATAAGGGCAGTGGTGGGTAGTGAATTCCTGGGTGGATTTTGCATGTGACTTTTTTCAACTTACGGATAGCATTCTCATAAGCCGAGCCCCCTCTACATCAACGAAAAATTGTCCAAAAATCATCGGCTTGTATTCGGTAATATACAGTATTTTCGGTGTATTGGGAATTGATCCATGTGTTGGATCATCCTTCGGACTGCATTAACTAAACCCACATCCCGTGCAGTTAGTATATTTAGTACGCCTTTATTCTGTACCGCAAGTTTTCTGTAGCTCGAATCCGAGAGCAACAAGTACTTCCCAGAGTAACAGCTTCCAGTCGAACACTCCGAGCATGGTGGCAAAGGTGACTGTTGTTTACCGTTGTAAGCAGGAGCTGCCGACTTATACCGTCAACAAGCAGTATACTTCCTCTATAGTTGGCCTAGATTTACCTACGCATGTAACACAGTTTGGCCTTATCCGTTATTCTTTCATGTAGCGTTTCTTCATGGCTGATCCGCTCTTCCAGGCAGCTGCTCGGGAATCAAGTAATAGCATGCTTCTACTGTCAGTATGAACCACGTGATTCATGCGATTGACAGTAAGCTTTTCAGCTCACAGTACGCAGGTATGCATGAATAGTTCACGCACACATATACACTGTAACGTTGTCACTTTTCCACTTGGGTCATCAAATGTTTTGCATAGCTGGACATTCTTGAAGAATTCATTTGCGTTTTCAGTTGAAACGCTTTTGGTTTAAGTTGGTATCAACTAAATGTTGACAACAATGGCGGCAGTGGCGATGACCAAATATCGGCCGTTCTTAAACAGGTTCCAAATATTTTCTCAGACAAGAGCGACTATGGCTTTATTGATTGAACGCCAATTGACAGAACTGTGATTTTGCCTTTCTCCACAGAAAACGAAGCCTGCCGCAGCATTGTTAAACAGTTCCAAATTTTGGAAGCTAGCCTTGTCAACGTTGTGAGTTCCATAAGTACTCAACACATCATACCTAATCACATAAACTCTTTTTCGGCATATAAACGACGCTGTGTTCATTGGTCTTCTAGGTAGGAGCACCCATGAGACAACAACTCTCCAACCTGGCCCGTACGGTAAGTGTTAATCCATGTTTCACTTCCTACGTCTGCAGTGTTGTATTGGTAAGCCACCACACTTTTCATCTAGAAGGCATGTGTAGCTGAGGTAACACTTAAGGTATCGCTAGGTATCATGCTACCTCTGATCAGAACAGTATGTCAATCTGAATAGCCACCATTTTCCGTAACTTTCAGCATAACAATCACTCTACAAATCCTGTTTTCTTTAATTCACTATGATTGGCCAGAGCAAACGCATTCGTAATAATCCAATTCAGGCGCCTAAATCCATATTGATCCCAGCTCTGTGCGATCAATCCCAATATGAACCAGATAGATACGCTTTTAATATAATGACGTTTCACTCACTTCCTTGTTGTAACGGACCGATCGGTGTTATGAAACCAAATAAAGTTAGGTTTCTGATGTTGGGATCAAAACAAATAAACATTAAACAAAACTTCTAAAACGAGTGAGTGATCAAGTGAAACAGCGAGTACTCATACATTTTCCAGTCAGTTATAACTATAGCAACTTCAACTTCTTCTTTGAGGAACTAATGTTTCACCGGAGATTTCTCAAGATGGGCTTTGAACCTCTCCAATTGCATCCATCGGGAGCGAACACCCCCCACTTACTACTGTTCACTAGGTGACAAGTCCCATATCAGTTGATAGCATCCCACTCTGTACACCCATCTGTTATACTTTAGGCTGTGTTGGGGTTTCTCACCTACAAAACAGTACGCATTTTTATGAGTGCTAGCTTCCGTTGAATGCTATTTGCTAGTGTGAAGGATCAACGTGACAGACTTGTGGATTTCCTTAAGCAGGAAATTGAAAGTTCCATGGACGCAACTGATCGAGAAAATGCACAAGTCGAATTAATAGCACTCTGCAAGTCTTCTACTTTGAGCAAATCAAACGGTACTGTGGACATCAAAATTATTAATTTTCGACGGATGCCTGGAGGCAAAACTCAATGCGATATACCATGAAACTATTGAACGAAATGTATGTACAAATTCCTTTATTGATACGGTCGAAACAATTCTCACGTGTCTACGCACCATTTACAGAATTAAGTGTGACATATGCATTTGTGAGAGTGATGTTTTTTTGACGCTTTAAACGATGCTGGGATTTGCTTTTTGAATTTGGCATTCCGACAGTGTCTACCTGGACTTGATGAACAGTCCATAGGCATGCTTAGTGCAGTGCCTTTTTGTGGCACCGTATTTACAACACCAATGGTGGCTTGATTACAATTTCTCACCTCACATGAGTCAGTCGCCTTAGGCTAGTAGAACTTAACAACAGTCTTTTCACTGAAGTATCCGCCAGGTAACGCTATCACTTCCATTGTCAGACAAGCTACAAGCCGCTAGTTGTTATGAATTTGGATTGCGATTGAACAGAGCGATGCGCACCACTGACCAGTCTCGAAAGGACCAAACGGCCGCCTAGTGCTTTTCCTGTCGTGTGAAAGACTATTTACCTTAGAATCTACTGCTAAGAACCTTCAAGTATTTGCATTTAAACTTCCCTACTTATAAGTAGTGTTTGTTGAAATTTGCCAATTAACACGCATGTTGGCCAGGTACACCATCGCCCAGAATAGAGTGCTACCATATTTCTCTCCTTTATAGCTCATCGAACACTCCAGGGAGATTGAGATGCACAACACAAAGCGGTGTCGGGAGCTGCTGGAGGTGAGTAATGGTACAAAGTTCCTTCATCACAATATTAACCCGTGCAGTAAATAATTCAAGGTGAAGATGCAGAACCTGAAAACAGCATTTCGCTAACAGCACTGAATTAAACCAATTCATAGAATTCACAGCGTGGCACTGTTCATCGTGCTGTTAGTTTAACTCCCACTCTCTCTCTCTCTCTCTCTCAGCCTTTTTACTGAGACAACGGTGTCAGTTCGGTGAAGGGATAGCTATTTGGCATGGTGACTAACCGAAATCGGATCCGGACATAAGCATTGTTCTTCCCGTTTTGATTAAAGTAAAACAGCTTGCCCAAAAAAACGCACTAATTGTCTAACATCGACAAAGTTTTTAGGGAATAAGGGAATAGAGTGGCAAATGGGAGTTACGAGACCATATGTTGGATGCCAGCCGACCTCAGGCTACACGAATCGTGCTCCCCACGAAAGCCACAACTCTATGCATGTGGCAGCGAATGCCCATTTGAATTTGGACAAACAGTCGCAACATTTGGTCACAAACTCATCATGAATATCACTTGGAGCGAATCCGCAGGAAACAATTTATAAGTGTCTGATTGATCTGAGAACTGAGTCCTAAACCGTGCATTATCCTTCAAGTTGTGCATCAGACGAGAACCATAGCGCAGTACGCAGAGATTACTGCAGGGCTCCTTCATCAGCACGTCACCTAACTCATTCGGCGACTAACTTAGAAATCCAAGTATGAATGGCAAAACCAATTGTTTGCTTTGTACTATGCAATTTTCAGTTACACTGCGAACCGTCCTTTCAAGCGTTAGGCCGGTATCCCATGTGATACCATGGGGGCATTCACGTCTTGCTTGAGAAGACATGTTTAACTAGCTGCTAATGCTCGACGTCCGCTGATTTTGTGAAGACTGCGTTTCCCTAGGAAGGCTACTCTTACGTATCAGACCCGACATGACTGTCTGGCATCGAGTGAACTATTCAAGGGTAGCTTCTGATCGTCGGTAAACTTTTGAACAAAACTCACTCTATGACCTCGTCCTACGTGGTCTGTACAGATAGTTCCGGTTTTATTGGTTCGTCGAAGTAAATTTACATATGTGTGAACTCGTTGTTCTTCCTGATGCGGATGCCGATTTCCTCACGTGTCTTTACAGGCTCGTGTCGTGCCGGCGCAACAACTGTTGAATTCCCCTTGCTTTTAGAACTTGAGAAATTGATTCCGTATTCATGTCGATATCATACCCAGTTGTATCCCCGGCCATGTATTTCTCTTTGGCCTGCTTGAAAGCCTCTGAAGCCCAGATGGGTTACGAATTGTATTACACATGAACAATGCAATGCAACAGTAGTCCGCCGCGAATCCCATACCTTTTATACAAGCCCTTTGTCAAAATGATCCAAACTTGAACAAGATGGATCGCGTAGCCTTGTATAGGGAACAAGAACCACGTGAACCCAACCTAATTCACTCTTTCCCGACACACGAAGTGGCTGATTGTCACTTTAAAGGTAATCGCTGTCCAAAATAAGATTACCCCCCCACAATATTTTAGCAAGAAGTGAACCCCTGAATCTCAACATGAAACGCATATATGTCTCCTCACATTCATTGTCTATCTTTATGTGAAGCGTATTAGCAAAGAGAGGACCGGTGACGGAATGACGAACAGCTCCCATCCTGTACTTCGAATTGACAAACCAGTGTACGCATGTTGCTCGACTCGACCCGTGGACGAAAGGATTGCATGTCTGCTTAGTAATCCCTAGACCACCGGTTCGAATCCACGGTATGTCCAAGTCTGGCGCGACTGATGGTGATCGCGTGGCAGCAAGGCGTCGGTACGAGATACCTTCTTCCTATCATTGTTATGTCATTGTTCTCTCGGGTGTTGGAGTAACCATTAACTATCTAGTTTTTGCTACGCAAGCTTTGTTTGGACTCCCAGTTAGGCTGCAGTAGACCTCGGTTATTTTGGCGTCAGGGCCTCATGCGATGCAAAAGCAGCTGGGGGTTGCTGGCTCCAAATGCTGATTTCGCCAACGTTTGGATTTTCGGTAGATAAATGTGACTATACATTGGAATAGAACTTGTTGTCTGTCCTCTACTCGATCATTGCGCTCATAATGCGAACAGTATTTTACCAAGCTTTGTCATCGCGTTCCAGTAGAAAGCAGGTAGACTCATCCGTGTCATTCATGTGTCCTCTAGACCCGATGCAATTACATGCAACTGTCCACCTACGAGGCATTCGGCTTTCGCTCGCATGGCCGTCACCAGTAAGGGCAAGAGTGTCTCAAAAATCGGTATAATTGCAGCGACATCTGGAAGATCGAGATGACTGCGAGCAACAAAGATAAGCCAGGTTATCGTTTGCGCGTCACAAACTACCTCCAAAGTATAATGGAACAATGAGAAAATGGTTTTATCCAGGTAGAAATGCTACTGCTTAACAGGTCCCGTAAGATGGTTGTGGTGAAACTTCAAAATATGAAACCTTTTAAAAAAATTTGGGTTGACATCAGTGAACTAACTGAAGTATACATAGTACATACTGTAAATCTAAGTTAAACCCATAAGCAATGTAGGCAAATGGGATGTTGGCAAAAGTCGTGTCTGCTCCTGGTGTATACTTACAGGTGGTGGAAAAGGTGGAACGAAATCTTGGGTTTTACTGTCAGTAAAGCCTCTTACAGACACTTGTGTTATTCATTGTGTAATGGGTCATGTAAGATGGTGCAGCGAAAAAAGTGCACGGTCAACTCAGGTTTTGAACTCTGCCAGCGTGGGAGCACGTATGATAGATTCCGGTAGGGCATTCCACCTAGGGCAAACGCGTACGGAAAATAAATTCCGATGGCATTCCAAGCGGCTGTGTTGTTCTGCCAGTTTGAGATGGTGGCCACTTAAATTGCTGTTGTGACTGAGCTCTAGCAAGTAGCGGCACGTGTGGTTGGGATCTCACAAAAGCTGGTAAGCAAAAATGAGGTAATTCAGTGAAACAGGCTTAATAACTTCAGTCTTGCATCATACTTCCATAATACACGACAATGTATACATACGACGAATTTCCGAATTTGCCACAACACCAGCCAAACGCACGAATCTACTAACCAGCTTTCGAACACCTGGTCCGTATAGTAATTCAAAATCTCGGAATCCGCTTGGAAGCGACTGGGATCTCATGACTTAACAAGCTTTTGAATACAAATCGGTTTTCTGTAGGTTTTTATTATGGCATGTGTATGATGTCTGTGTTAATGACGAATTTGAACCACCTTACACTGCGACGAATTAAACTGAACTGGATTGTGGAGGTACGATTCGTACGCTATGCTAGGTCTCGCTGAATAGCATCGAGATATAATTGGTCAGCGATCGTTCACCAAATGGTAACATTATCAGGGACGAGCAAGAAATCCGAAACAAGCAAACGCGTAAGCTCTTTAAAGAACATGAGAAACAGATGCATCCCCAGAAATGATCCTTGTGGAGCTCCACATTTGACATGAATCGGATCCGACAACGCTCTTCGAAGGCTGACCTGGAACTGCCGCGGTGGTAGGCAATTGTTGATTCAGGATAGGATTCCTGACGAATGCTTAACTTGGTCGCGTTTTGCATTCGGATAATATACGAGCTGAATTAATGATTGGTGCATAACAACTATACATACTGTGTGACAAATGTTGAATTGTGGCCTCTCCCAGAGACCGCGGACGAGTATCAGCCGGGAACAACATACCTTGTAGAGTGTCACACCAAAGACACCGGTGTTGTCTGCCGCTTACTCCTAACGCCATCATACTGAGCTGGTAAGTGAGAAACCGTTCATATTAGTATCGCAAACACTTCGAGATCATGTTCGTGCCAAGGGCGCCAGACCTGGGTCCCGTGCCCCACATAGAACCTTTACTGAACACGGTAGGTTCGAGCAATCTCAATGCCCTCTACAAGTGGTGAATGTTTCTCCTCGTTGTCATTTTTGCTTTGCCTTAACCAACCGAGATCATAATTTACGAGTGGCTCAGATCTACCGAGGTTAAACAGATTCGCTGAAGTTGGCAAGTGCTAACTGGCTCTTCGCGTTTGGTCGGAGCCGTCTTCATGGCATAGCTGTCAACCAGTGAAAATTCTATGGACAAATATAAAATGGCATTCAACTATACTACCACAAATTCTCTATGGATTCTTAGACATCCGATTTCTTACAACTATGACCCAGCTGGCTAAAATTTGCTTTACACATGTGCTGGCGCTGTAAACAAGGATATTTGGTTGAAAATGAATAAGTTGCAGAAGAAGAAGAAGAAGAGGATTCTGAGTGGTCAGCATGTTGGTCTTAACTGAGGTAGATATTCCAGTTGCAACACCATATTGCTTTGCGTTCGCTGTCCTTCATACTAGGTTGTATTTGCAAATGTAAAACAGTGTGGCTCGCCGACGCCTACAATACAGGCGGTTATTCTCATAACATTCAAGCGCGCCTATATGCACGAGAAATCCTGAGTATCGTACCATATGATCCGTATGTGACTTGCGGAATATTACCTCATCCGTTGTGTGGCAATTATTTACAGGGTGTATATGAACAACGTACAATGATTTATCACGGGATAAAAACAAGTGCTTGACACGTCCTGTAGGATGGTTGGCGTGAATACGCTGAAATCAAAATAGATCTGGGTCATCTACCGGATGTCTGCGGGATGAACACTTTGATACATTACATCAGGGTTAAAGTAAAAAAACATCGAACCTAAACGTTCAGAAATACACGGGGATGCAGTGGTCATTGATATAAGGCGTGAGAAAAGTAAAATATGGTCGCTCACTTGGTTCCATTTGATACATATACATCTTGTAGAAACGTACACTCGGCGTAATCCGCAATTGGTGGAGTTTAGGTAACAAAATGCTGGGAGCTAAGCGCAACATCTAATCGTTTTTTGAAAACGTTCAAGGTAAGAGAGGATACAAATGAGTCTGGGAATGCGTTCCAGGGT